GGGGGAGGTCTTGCTTCCAATTAAGAATGTAATTTAACCGATTGCAGACAATCATATGCCAAATACCAAAGATATAATCAGGTCATGTTTTTTTTACCTGATTTGAATAGTTTTGATCTGATTGGAATAAGTTTCAATTTGATTTGATTTAATCTAGTCTGATCTGAATGTAATTATATTTAAATTTATTTCTGATCTGATCTATAAGGATCATCAATTTTTCGCACGGAGTACCGTAGAAACCCCAGATCATCTAATGACATTGATTTCTAATGTCATGAGAACCGTGGTGTAAGTTCTAGGAGTAGATTCTAAAATTAAAATGTTTGAAGAAATCTAAAATTTGATATAATTGTTAGTGACAAACATGGATGACAGGTAGGCAACCAAAAATGGAAAATAATAAAACCCCGTTTGGTACACAGAATTCAAACTATGAAATTAGAATTGATGACATTAATTCCAATTCTGACGTTTAATACTTCCTCCGTCCCAATTTTTAGTGCATGTTCACTATTCACACTTTTCACAGGGTCAAACTTCATTTACTTTCTTTTTCTATTTTTGTTAGCATTTTGATAAAATAAAGTACTATTGTCACTACTAGTTTTGTAAATCTTTTCATGTAGTATTTTAATATGTAATTTTTATTTTTTAACTATATACCATTTTTCATATAAAATGATTTGAAAATAATTTCAATCAAACATCGTAAACCGAAACAGACACTATAAATTGGGACGGAGAGAGTAGCACAAAAATTATGTGGATTTGGAATTGACAGTGCAAAAATTAAATTGGAATTGGTGAATTCAATTCTACGGAATTGAATCCAATGAAATTCCAATTTCAATTTCAATTCCATCAATTCTGTATACCAAACGGACCCAAAACATCCAATAGATCAATATACCCAACACAATAGTTGTTATACTAATATTTTTCAAAATCAGGTGATTAGGCAACAAACAATGGAGAATAATAAACCAGGTAATTAGGCAGCAAGAAATGGAGAATAATAATAATAAAGAAACATCCAATAGATCAATATACACATTACAATGGTGGTTTTACCAATTTTTCTTACATGGAATGATGAATATAATATAAATACACTTGCAGATCTATCTTACTAATATCTACCTATTGCCCATATGGTTTTCCATCATAAAAAAAAACCAACATTACCATAAGAGCATTGTTCAATATATTGTTTTTTTATAATTGAAAAAAACTTGAAAGAATGGCATTGGGAATTGGGATGCCCATCATTAGATTTCAAGTATCAAGTGGTCTTCTTCTCCATTTCAGCAGCACTCAAGTTGGGGAAAAAAAACTTGGGCATACTGATAACTACTTACCATTTACACTAGCACAAGTGGACTTCCCAAAGGAGGAGGATTAAAATAACTGTATAAATTGGGCATAAGAGGGGCGGGGGATTAATCAGCGTTGCAACTGTCGAGGAGGGGATATACGATATGATCGTGTCGGAGGTCCTCCGTTCGCTCCTTGTGACTTGTTTGGTTCTTTGTGATCTTCCGGTCTTTGAAGCTCCTGAACGAGAGCATTTTTTTTAGTGTGACACTTTTCAATAACAACAAAAACCCAATAAGTTCACGCATTGTGGGGTCTGAAGAGAAAGAGAAAACATGCGACGAATGCAACCAACTAGGAAGAGAAAACGTACGAAGCAGGGAGTATATCATAAACACCTAAGAATTTAAACATCAAACAAACTAGAGCATGCATGGTAAAGGATGGCAAAACCTTTGGTGGAGGTGTGGAGTCATAAGAGAAATGAGGCTGTGACGTTGATCGTGCACGGTGCTTCCGCTGGATCTGTTCAAACTGTCGTAGCATTGATGGGAAGTTTATTCCGTTGTGTGAATTCTCACTTGTTCCGTTGCGTGAGTTCTCGTTCATGCCAAATCCATCTGAAATGTGTGGCCCGCCCCTCGAATGACTAGTTTGACAATACGGATTTCCAGACGATGTTATCCTCAAGTATTCCTCGCTAAAGAAGTACTTAGGAACTGTTTTCAACCTAGTCCGAAGAACCTTAAACGCAGCACTTTGCTGTAGAAATAGGATAAAGGAAAACCATGATATAGGATTAAATAAAGACAACAAACCCAGTAAAATCCAACAAAAGTGAGATCTGGAAGGGAATGTGCACATAGACCTTACCCCTACTATGAAGTAGATAAGGTAAATTACTTGGAGTATATTCTTATTGCTAAAAACACTTTCTTTAAAATAATGTTGTATGCATAACATACTACCTCCATTCCTCAAAACATTTCCAACCTAAAACAAATTATCATTTCCTTGTAAGGTAAGAAAAGTGATCTTCATATGGATTCTCTCTCTTTTAAATAAATCTCAACCACAAAGTTTTCATTTTCCCTATGTTGAAATACAACAACAAAAACCCGGAATTCTCGCAAGAGTAGGGTCTAGGGAGGGTGTGTGTATGCAGACCTCATCTTATTTTATTTTCTCCCTCCGTCCAATTGATTTCTTTAAGGTATGGTTTATGATATTTGATTGATATATTTCATATTACTATATTCAAACTTTGGTGCAAAATTTGAAAATTATATATATATATATATATGTATATATATATATATATAAAACATCAAAAGATTAACAAAACAAGGGGTGACATGACCATATTATTTTATCAAATAATATGAAAATATCTACCAAAAGAGAATAGTTTGATTGTTTGAATAATAACTATAAGGAATCCAACGAGACAAGAGTATACAAAAATTCAAATATATGTAAACTAATGAATGTGATTATATTTCAGTTTTAATTGCATTTTCTATGGTAAAGCAAACATACCCCACCACTATGTTTGGTTCAAGGAAGAAGAAAAGAGAAAAAGTGCTACAGAAAAAAATCAAAGAAACCAAATATCATCATTTCGTTTGGTTAGTAGGGAAATACATAAGGAAACTACTTTTCAATAACACATTTGTTTGATTGTTGTGGAGAAAACAAAGGAAGACAAGATTGAGAGGAGGGTGTGATGGGATTATGGGAGGGTAGTGGTTGGAGCAGTGGAGACTAGGGAGGAGTTGTGTTGTTCCCTCTTTCTCCTCACTAAAAAGGAAGAAAAATCAATTTGTCATTTTTACTTTACAATTTCCTTAGCTTTTCCTTTCCTCTCAATTTCCTTTTCTTTTCCTTTCTGACTAAACACCAAAATTGCTTTGCCTCACCATTTTCTTTTATATTCCCTTCCAAAGTCCTAGGGAATTGTTCTCATTTTGCAGTGGTTAAAATAGTGAAAAGCTTTTCTAAAAGAATCGTATAAGCAACAAAGCCTTAAGCTGGTAACAAACATGCAAAGGCATACCATACCTGAGGCAGCAGCATTAGTAAACCATTCAAGGATTTTAACAACCAGATGTATCTTCCGGGTTCAAGAAGCTGCAATAAAGTGGTGCTTAGTTACTAAGGGAAACTCAAAATTAACAGTATAAAGAAAGAGATATCATGAAGTTCCATTCTCAAAATCTTCTGAAGAAAAATTAGGACACCTGCAGCCTCAAATAAGCAAAGATAGGAGTCTCTAAGAGGTGGATTAATTTGTCTAGTTGGACCAAGAACTTCACATTGACATCCTCCTCCACCAGAGATTGAATAACAGAATTTGCATGTTGGTATGCCTGCAATGCATTTCTATAATGTTGGAAATATAGGAAACCATAGACTATATGCCCTGGTGTAGCCATAACCTACTATAAGCCCATCTAACTTCTATATAAGGATGTGTGTCCTCTCAATGTATCAATTCATTTATACTCCCACTATCCCAAAAAAAAACTTCCTGCTTTCCATTTTCAGTTATCCCAAAATGAAGTCCATATTCCATTTAGGGAAAGAAAGGTTCACAATTTTTCTCTATCCTCTGCAGAAACTTCTACCATGCAACTTTTCATTTTCTTAAACTCCGTGAAAAAGCAAATGTGAACTTATTTTAGGGACGGAGGGAGTATTGCATCATCTTAATATATTTAGAGCTTGTTTGGTGGTCTTCATATTCGGCTACAAACCAGTTTTTTTTCATCAAACAATAATTTATTCACTACGCTACGTGAATTAGCTACAATGAGAAATAGTGTATAAATGAATTGATTTTCGTTGAAATGGCAAAAAGACTTTACCTTTATGTTTTATTTCATTAAAAATCTAATATTGAATTTCATTTTTCTAGATAATCCAGCACTTTCAGGCAAATTCAGTCATTTATGTCACAACTTCAAATTATTCAACCAAAGCCATTTAAAGCATTACCAAACGGGCTCTTAATATATTGTCTACCCTTTCTTTAGTTTCTTGTGTTTGCTTCCACTAACAGATGGGTGATGGTTGTTTACCACCCACTAGTCCTAAAAACCACAGAATAAGTCAATATAAGGAGAAAAGATTTCAATGAAATACAAAGAATTGAAAGTATATGAGTGAGAAGAGGCTGAAGAGTTTTGTACTTGTGCTACGAAACAGAGGCTTATCATGGCCATAGGAGAATGGCACCACGAAGCATATAATGAAAGAAACAAGTCCTTTCCTGCAGAATTGACAAGTGACTGCTTCAACAGAACACGTAGGCCAAACAACTCAGATGAAGTGAGCAAAATCAAGTTCAAGGCCTGAAAAACAGTGAGCCACAAAACAATATAAATGGCAAAAAATGAATGTACAGACATCGGGAGTGCATTTTGGATGGCCTTTTTAGATGGAAAAATTTACTTTTACATGAAAAAGAAGTTTCTCCAGGGAGACGGAAAAAGTGTTGTTAATTGATGGTTAAAAGGCACTTCCAAAATGCTTAAATGACTAAATGAGAAACTATGTATACCATAAGATATCCCAAACAGATTCTTAGTCAAGGAAACTATGTAGTTCTACAATGAGACCTATCTTTTTTTTCATTAATAAAAATGGACTTCCATTGCAGAAACCACGTATATTAACAAAAATCCCAGTAGAATCCCACAACAGTAGGGTATGGTCTGGGTAGAGTGTGTGTATGCAGACCATATCCCTACTATGAAATAGAGAGGTGGCTTCCAAGAGACCCGAGCCTCAAACACAAAAGCACAAAGCACAAAGTAAACAGTGGCAAAGTAATTAACCACTCAAATTAACAGCATAAGAAACTTTATTGTAGTATTTTCTTATAAGTAAAACCTGAACCATCACAGCAACAAACTCCAAATCTGACTCTCCTTCAAGTATGGCAGAAATTTCCCTATAAACTTTCTCTGCATCCAGAAGCACACACAGCCTCCGAACTATCAATGCACCACGTCTGAACGGAAATTTTGACAGTAAGATGCTAATAGAAGAGCTTAACAGATTGAGAACTCCAAAATCCAATCACTAAAATAATGCTCCACCTAAGAATTCAAGCTTACTTTTCCAAAAGAGAATGGTCAATTCGGAAATTGTGAATTAAGTAAACTATAAGCTGACGAAAGTGTTGTGTTTCCTTAGCGATGCAGGCATGCACCTCAAGTACCAGAAGCACTACCTACGAACAAATGAAAGGTATTATAATAACAGTAAAAAAAATTCAAAGAGCTCTCTTTCTCTCTCTAGAGAGGTATTATAACAAAATCACTATTTTAATTTTGCTCAAGTGTCAAGATAACCTATCCAGCAGACATAAATGCTTACACCTTTTGTTTTATCCTCAATGCCTCACCAAATTTACTCTCTAAGTTTTAGATAAGCACACATGAATTTTAGGCTGCTCACTAGATTCTCTCTCTCTTGAATTAGTAGAACAGGTTGCATTATTTGTTAATTGAAAACAATGTACACAAGATGATCAATAAAAGCAATTGCTTGAAAACATAAAGTTTATGGCTTTGAGAGTTGTGATTCTTCAAGACTACCAAAATACAACAATGCATAGGGAACGTGACAAGATTATAGGCACTTGAAAGGAAAGAGAAGCAGCGAAAGAAGATACCTCATCAGAGGGATCTGATAGAACCTCCCGAAGAGTATCAAAAACATCACTCAGGAAAACCAAAACCTGCAACAAAATCAATATATATTAAGATAATAATAGTTACAACGCTGCAGTTCAGGCATAGTAAAAGGAAGAAATTAGGAAACAATGCTAACCAATAGAAAATGGGAATGCCTAAAAATGAACATGATGTGTAATTTCAAAACCAGGAAAGATCTTCATTATCAGCATTTAAATCCCAGAAAATATGTGGTGGAAATACAAAAGCAGAGATTAACTGAAATCAAATGATTATCATCTATTAAACTATTGCATGATGATCCTAGTTGGGTTAACTGAATGGTAAAATGCAACAAGTGGATCCCAGTGCTAAACACAGAAAAAACACAAACAAATGTAGCCAATAAACAAAAATAGGACATCTAAAATTTCATCACCTCCATACGATGTCTACTTAGCAAGGTGATCATCCAGTGCAATGCTTCAATCCGAGTTGCCTCGAATTCACTAGACATCTGACTGGTATAAATATTCAAATATTATCATCCACGAATAACATATGCAATGATCTCAATACATTATGAATTTTCTAAAAAAGTAGTTCCTGCAGCTTTTTAAGTCAGATTATAAAAGGCATATCAATATCTATCAATATTGAATGCTTCAATACATGACAAAAGCTTCAATAGCCCTAATTCAACCAGTTCAACCGGGAAAGCATATCTACCTCCTACAAATATTAAGGATTGATTCAACACTAAATCCCTCAGCAGGATAAGCTTTGATTGATCTAAGTTCATCATTTGTCTCACGAGCAACCTAGAAATAAGAGAAAAACAAGGGAAAGGAGCATAAATGAAAAGGACTCTTGTGAAAATAAGAAGGAAGCCATGGTGCACCGCTTGAGGTGTTGATGGGTGACCGGGCTGCCTGCATCACACCCTTATGGTGGGACAGCCTGGGACCTTTTTGCAAACCCTCATTAAGCACAGATGCTTTGTGCACCTGCCTGCTCTGATGCAAGATAACTCAGAAGGACCCAATACCCATCAAAAATTCAGAACTCAACTTACAACTCGTATTTTTTCTTCTTTATCAGCGATACAAGGCAAAATTGCTCCCAAAATAGCAGCATAGTGAGGAACCAGTTGATCCCCACCAAGTTTAACTAACTCGTTTATCTGAAGAAAAAGGGGAGTAATAAGACAACATAAGAAAGGCAACACACTAATGGTTTTAGATTTGGCAGAATCTAGATGGGTATAAAGACTTAAGAAAGTCAATATCTTTACCCATGTAATAGCAGTTAGCCGAGTAAATTCATCAGGTGAATCTGCCCGCTGTACCAATATCTCGACCATTCGACCATAATCTACAGACTTGAAGAAAACACGAGTCAGAAAATAAAATGAATGAATACTTCTACTATGCACCCAAGTTTAGCCCCACATTTGATCAAACCGCATTAAAGTTCATTTTACCCTTGCACTGAAAAGCCCTAATTACTTTGTTGGATATCTTACAAGATTAAAATAAGCATTTTATGGGGATGGGATAACAAAATGGGGTTAAGCTTGAGTGCATAGTCCCTTAAACTAACAAATTTCTCAATACTCATATTTGGTCTTCATGTAATAAACAAAGAAAAATAGTACTAGGATCTGAGACTTAATGCATTGTTACATTTACTGCCCAAAACTTCAAGGGAAGTATGAAGCCAAGGAGGTTTAATGTATTGATTTGATTTAGTCCATTATGTACCCAAATCTAGAAGTTCAAAAAAATCTACACACTGAACTTCACCGAGAAAGTTATATCATGTATATCAAGACAAGATGAGAAATCTTACTACTGGTGAGTTCTTGATCTCCTGAAGGAACTCGGAAAGTGCAGAATCAGCCTGTTGACGTATTTCGTGGCTAGAATCGCTTAACATATTAAATAAGCCTGCAGTTGAGCAAATAAAAATGCTTTAGCTCCAGAAGAAAATAAAACTAAACAAGAAGAAAAAACTGACAAAATCAAACAAATATAGGGTTACTCTGGCACCACAAGGCCTCCCTAGAAGTAAATCAGTCACCAAAAAAGTGTCGCACATTTAATGGTTATCTCTAAGGAAACTTAATGGTCATTTGTGCTGCTTAACTTTTGATCAGTCAAACAACTTTGATGACTTGTATATCAATTATCATTTCTTTGAGCCTTCGTCAGTGGTTTCATGCCATAGATCTCTTTTCTGTGTCTATTGTCGCTTTTGTTATATATTGCGCTTTCATGTTATTTGCCACCCACTTTATACACATAGTTATAAGTTAGACAAAAAAAACTACTAATTTTTTAACATTTTACAACACAAATCATGTTCCAAAAGCGGTCAATGTCCCCTTTTTTCAGTGTGTGCCTACTTGTAGCTGACCCCATCACCCCAAGATTATTGGTATGTAAGGCCTAATTATTGTTGTTGTTGTTGTGTCTATTTGTTTGATCATAACATGGTACTTGTGTAAAGATAGATCCTTCAATGTCAAACTAGCATATACCATCAAGAAAATCAGGAAGGAACCCGAGCATGTCAATATCTGGAACACTGTCTAAAACTGTGATCCATCCAACCAAAAATTGGCGTACATAAGGATTGAGGACATTCATACGCTCCCTCAACAAAGGAATAAATTCTTCAATACTGCCAGTGGGAAAAGCTAAATAGTTAATTATTGAACTGTTGAGCTCTAAGAGCAATAAGGTCTATGTTTCAGGCACTAGAACTTCATCATACCTGAATTGATCACTCTCAGTGACAATGTCCTGCACGCAATAGATATTTTAGACATTACTATTCAAAAATAAACAGACAAAATGTGATACTAAGAATACAATGAACTCCCCTCCCACTACCTGCAAAATATCCTGGGAACAAAATGGAAAATTGTAAACATAGAAGTAGATGAAATGGCTTCCACGCCACATTTATCCATGCCTCATACACACTTTCTTCCACTGAGAAATATTTTATGAGTACCATTTTCAGAATTCCACTCCTCACAGAATTTATAACAGTGAACAAATAAAATTGTCTATATTTCTAAATTTCTTACAAACGTTGGACCATAATAATTCTACTGCCTTTAACACTTGTATGACTTCACATCAGTGAAATGAAGGCATGTTTGAAAGGTGAAGGGACAATTTACTTGCCTTTACAAGTCGGTCTAAAAGATGAGCTGCACTTTGTACATTCGAATCTGAGTCAGCTGAAAGCTTGCATAGAGCATCAAATATCTGGTTGAAGAATACAATGAAGTCCCCTCTCACTACCTGCAAAATATTTCACATTAACAAAAGAATTTCAAAAGGAAACAAAAATGAATAAAACCTTGCTCTCTCACCTTTGCAATATTATACAGAGATTCACAAGCATAATAACGAACTCTGCTATCTTGATCCGAGAAGGAGTTCAGGACAGGTGGCACAATTTGCTGTCAAGTTACATCAGGACAAGGTACATAGTGAATAAAAAAAGGAAAAGCAATTAGAACTAGCCACCACAACTACAAACTTCCAGAAATTGGATTTATCCCATCTCTCTGAAATTTCGATTAAAATTAAAAGTGAACCGGAATCTATGCCAATAATTTTAGATAAATGCAAACATTAACATAGATACTAGACAGAGTTAAGGACTATGAACACTGCAAGTTAGTAAAACCCATTACCTCAAGATGATTTGCTGCTTCAGAAGTTAAACCCACAGTTGCAGCAGCTAACCCTATCAATCCTCCCTAAACCCACAAAACCAAGCAAGAATTATAAAATAAAAATCAAAAACCAGAAAGGGGCCAGCAATAAAGCGAGCTCCGGTAGGAACTTACTTTCCTGTGATTGGCTTGGGGAGAGTAAGCATAGTCCTCGCTCAACAATTTGACCACTGCAGTTATCCTGTCATGATCACCGGCCACGGCCAACTGTTTCACAATCCCCTCCAACTAAACAAATTGCATCAAAAACACAAACTTTATCCATAACCTCTGAAACCCGAATCCTAAAAAGCTTCAAAATTCAACCAAATGCAAAAAAAACCCATACACCCACCTCAAGTGCAGCATTCTTGCGCTTCTCGTAGAGCTTATCAGAGAGGTTCCTGAGAACAGCAGCGGGAATCACAGACAAGGCTTCCGCAGTGGCCATTCCACACAAATTTAAACTATACCCTAGACACAAACACACAAACACACACACACACAAGAATGAACTATATTCTTATACAGCACAAAATCAATCAAAATCCCTTCCTAATCTCCTCTTGCAGGAGTTGAACAATGCCTCCCTCAAATCCCCTTATACAGGAATTAGGAGAGTTCTCAAGAAATAGTCTTGGTAGAAGACGAGTGAATAACAGATCGAATACGGAACGAGAGAAGGAAATTGAAATGAATGCAAGTTGGATCTTGATTATGGTTTCTTTTTATTCCCCCGGGTTTTCACTTTTCTGGGGGGTTTTTATTTGTGCAAATTTGGTGAGGGAGAAAAAGTTCAGTGAAAATTCTAAGCTATGGGAATCGCTGACTCGGTTGTTGAATAGTATAATGATGTCTCAACACATTTATCTAAACATGATGATCTCAAAGTTTAAAAATAAATAAATTTTTGTGGTTGAAACTTGAAAATAGTGGACCATATATGAAAATGATATGAATCACAAAACTCTAAAGATTAAACTTGAGTTTTTAGTATTTCAAGAGTCATCCACGAATCACAAAACTTTATAGGTTAAACTTGAATTTTTACTTCAATTCATGACATCCTGATCAACCTCTAACAGGACTAAGACGATCGCGTGCAATACGAGGTGAGTTCGCCGAAAATATTACTTTGAAATTACTCAAGATAGTAATTCCCCAAAGCTCACTTTAAAAAAAATATATCGACTGCAAAACTCACCAAAGGCAGCTGCGAAGCTCACCATAATGTATGGAAAAGCTCACTATAATTTTTTGACACTTTAAAATTTTAAAATTTTAAAGTTTCAAAGCTTATCATACTTCACTAGAAAGCTCACCAAACATTCACACGAATTTCACCAAATTTTTAGGTTTAAATTTTTTTTAAAAAATCAAAGAGTGACTTGGACCACCATTTACCGGCGGACGACATGTGTGATTTAGTATGTTAAATTCAATACTTGCACGTAGATTTTATGATCACAGAATCACAACTTTTTGAGAAAACACTTAATTGAAAAGGATCATTTCAAAAAATTAGTATAAATTTTGGCATCAATTTAACGTCGTTTTTGCGGTGATTAATTGAAAGACTAACTCATCATTATTCTCAATTATCAAGTATCATAGATTCATATGCCAATAATTAATTCTTGTCAAAAAAAGAAAAATAGTTACTCCCTCCGTCCGGAAATATTCTTCTCATTTTCCTTTTTGGTCTGTCCAGAAATATTCTTCCCATTTCTTTTTTTAGTATATTTTTTAAGGCTAAATATCAATAATACCCTTCTATTTTATCACAAATCTACTTTTTTAGTACTTTTTTAATAATAAAAGAAGATTTAAAAGTTTATAGTATGTGCATTTTTGAAAATTTTGCATTTTTTTTACTATTTCTTAATAAACGTGTCAAGTCAACGCGGGGGAGTATTAAGGATGTCAGTCGAGGAAGGCCTCCTAAGTTTACATAGTAAATTGTATTTATGTGAATGGTAGGTGTATAAGTGTGTGTATAATGGACGCAAAGTTTTTATACTTTTCCAAAGTCTCTTATTTTCTTCATGTTTGGTGGAGGAAGACGTGTGCCCACCTTTATCCTGCATCTGCTTTTACCTTTTTTTTATAACAACAGTAGTAGTAATAATAATAATAATAATAATAATAATAATAATATTATTATTATTATTATTATTATTATTATTATGACCAAAATACTAATAATAATAATAATACTAATAATAACAACAATAATAAATGATTCAATTTACTTACTCCGGTATTTTTTATCTTAAATTAAATTTGCCGCTTTTCTAAAAAAATGCCAAAAAAAATATTTAACTAAAGCCTTATTTGCCAACAATATTAGAATTTAGTATTACCACTTTAAAAAAGATATCTAACAATAGCTTTTAGCGTATGCTAGCATTGTCAAACACCATTAGAATTGTCCAAAACACTTACTCCGTATGTAATTAATAAGAATATTACTCCCAAGCAAAGGAATAAAAGAACAAAGATCACGCAAAACAATCCCACATTAACACGGCCAAAGTTTTACACTAAGATATAAATTTTTTAAATAGGTACGTGGTATTATATTCAATTACTCATTAATTCCTCTGTCAATTAACAATTTGACTTAATAGTATTTAAAAAATAAAAAAATAAATATAAAAGAAGATAGGGAGATTAAAAAAACAAACCCAAAGAAGTTCACACTTTACTTTGAATGGCTCGAAAATCAAGCGTCTCATTTTCTCCATCCCGCAAAATTCACACTTTTCTTATTGAAATGTTCTAAAAAAACATGCACTATATTTCTCTTTCAAACAAATGTTTATTATAGTAATAGTTTTATTTTTTTGCAAAAAACTAAGTAAAATTTGTCTTAAATAGTACTCCGTACTAAAACAATAGTCATTTTTCAATGTAATACTTAAACTTTTTTATTCATAAATAGTTTTTGAATAATGTCTTGTTGTCGGAATAATCCCCAGTGGTGGTGGACATTTATTTTGAATAATGTTCAGTAATGATGGACATTTACTTGAGCAATGACCGATGTACAATGACCAGTGGACATTAAACAGTGGTACTATTGAGAAATGAAAATATATGGTACTATATTTTAGTACCATTTGGATAAATTTCTCATAAATAAAACTATGGACTTCTTTATGTGACGGAGGTTACACACAAACAAAATTATCTTGACAAAAATATTTCAAAATGCCAAGCTCTTATGATTCCAAATAATATACTCTTTATCCCAAAACTAAAGCGTTTCAATACAATATTCAAATATCATACTTTTTTAGTCTCAAATTAAATTACACATTTACTATTTACTGGATTAAACTTTATTTACATTTTTTCTTGGTTTTTGATAATCATTTGATTAGATAATATAGTCATATCACCATTAGTTTTCTAAATCTTTTAATATAATTTTTAATTATACATCATTTTTGTATAAAATAATTTGAAAAAACTTCAATTAGATGTCGTAGACCAAAACAGATACGGAGTAATTGAAATGGGAACAACAAGAGTACTTTCTTCTTTCTTTACTTATCATTAATTAGTCGTTACATGTCATGTCACCTAGTACTAATTTCTAGAGCATTTAATATAGATTTTACTCCAGGATAACAAAAAATGCACTCATATATAAATTTTATTATAAAATCTTATACCATTTCCAAAATAAATTTAGTTGAAAATAAATTTAATAAAGCTTCATTATCTGCAACAAAAGTTTAATTATAGAAGGGATGGAGTATAATAAATCTGCACATACATTTACTTATGATCATGTCATGTCAATCTTCAAGTAACTCAATATCAAAACTAGCATTGGTTCGAAAAACATTAAAAGGTGGAATTATTTTGACCAATATAAATAAAAAAAGTATTGCTGCATCGGCATTTTGTTAAATTTTTTTCTATTTACGTCAGCCTTTGATATGCAATATCTCAAAAAAGTGAGATAATTTTACACCAAAAATAGAAAAGTAAGAATTTTTGAGCAGGTCAGCCAAAAGGTGAGGTAAGTTTTACCTGCAAAATATCACTTTATTATAAATAAATAAATATGTCAATTTCAATAAAACCTCCAAGCAAATTTCAAAGAGGAAAAAAGTAGTGTACCAAGTATAACACCATATATGTGACACCATATACAATTTCGCACTGACGCTTAGACACTTTATTGTCTGTGTGTATGTCCAAGACACTGGTGTCATTCTTGATGCCATTATAGCACGGCTCTTCCAAAAACATGCATCTACTAAAGACACTCGATTTACGCAATAGTAATAATATGATTAATATCAATGACAACAATAATAATACAAGATGTATATAAACACGACTCTGTTTTTGGGGCAGGAAAGAAGATGAATACCGTCTCTACACAGGAGCCCAAGGATGGGATTCATCCTTTTTATGAATGCTGATTGGGTTAGGTGAGTCATAGATGTCCTTAAAAACATGTTAAAATGTGAGTTTGACTTCAAATAATATGGGAAAACATGTTAAAATATGAGCTAGGATTCAAATCTTGATGAAAGAACAGACACTCTTTGTATGGGCAAATTCAGATGTTGAAGAAAAAGAGAGAATCTTGGAGTAGTGATACAAATGAACCTGAGAGCGAACTAACAGAAGCGCTCAAAGGGAGCTGATGGATGCAAGAGTGACCCTTCAAGCTCTCTAAAGCCGCGGTAGATAGCTTCTGTTTGAACTTGTGGGAGAGACAACCTCCTTACCTCGGTCATATACCTGGCCATAAAAACAATAACATATTTTTACATTCAAGGCACTAAAAAAGTTACATCAAACGACCCCAGTAGAATCCCACAAGAATATTGTCCGGGATAGTTTGTACCAGACCTTAACCCTACTCAGAAGGTGTGTGCATAAACCTTATCTTACTTGGAAGTAGAGAGGTTGTTTCCAAGAGACCTCTGGCTCAACACAAGGCACTAATAGATTTTAAGGGGAATAAAAACTGATAATGAAATTCTCCCTCCGTCCCGCTATATTCGTCCACTTTTGACTTTTGGAACTGTTCATCTAAGCACTTTGACTCATCAAATTCTCTCAATGTGTAAGCATAAATATAGTCATGTGTAATCTTGTTTGATTTGTCTTAACATATAGATTATTAATATATAATTTCTATAATTTTTTAATATACAAATTACAAGATAAAATGGAAGTGTCTTGGATGGTGTGTAAAAATGAAAGTGAACAAATACTCTGGGACGGAGGTAGTAATATGCCCTAGAAAGAGCACAACATCGTAAGAGAAGTTGCATTTGTTTTAGTAGTGGGAGTAGCTCGCCTGATTCCCTTCCCCGTTACCATACCCCCACCAAGGATTGAATCCACACCAAAAGAAGATGAAGAAAAAAGATGCATTTCTTGGAATTTTTAGAATAGATTTTTTTAATACGTTTGGTCCTACATGATTGAACCCACACCTTAATTTAATCTTGCATCTACGTGATTGGAAAGTAAGTAGAGATGAAAAATTATAAACAAATATTGTAATAAAAAATCAATCTTTCTCTCGACTTCCCTCCAAAATCCCCCAACCACACAAGCCCTAAAGTTCCACACCTCCACGCAGGTATCCTAGAGTATAAACCATGCCCATAAATCAATACAAAGCATGCTGTCAGGTTAGAATTTATATTTACTTAAATTCATTGATGATACTAGCATCGGAAGGATGTGATTAGACTGGACTTACACCTTCATGATCTAATCGAGGGCATGGCTTTAGATAGAATCGCCTGGAGATCTAAATTTAGAGACCTTGG